AGTAGGGTAATAGCAGTCTCTACAATGTGCCTATGCTTTCTCTCAGCCAAGCTATTTTGTTCTGGGGTATATGGGCAGGATTTTTGATGAATAATACCATGTGTGGCTAGAAAAGACTGAAATTGTGAACTGGTATATTCTCCCCCACCATCACTTTGAAGAACTTTGACTTTGACAGAAAATTGAGTGTACAAAAAGGCATGAAATTTGACAAAGAGAGCAAACACTTCTGATTTATTTTTCAATGGGAAAATCCATGTAAATCTTGTACATTCATCTATGAAAGTTACATAGTATCTAAAGCTTTCAAATGACAGAAGAGGGGCAGGTCCCCATACATCACTATGGATTATTTCTAATGGATGTACAGACTTAGTTGTAGGAAAAACAAAAGGGATTTTGGTGAATTTTCCTTCGAGACACGATGTACAAACTGATTTACATGTGTCAAATGAGAGAGAGACTTGATTTTGATGAAGCATTGCAGAGGTGATTGCATTAGATGGGTGACCTAGCCTTTGATGCCATAAACTGGTGCTAACAGGTTGTGCAAGAAAGCATTTGTGTGATTGAGATGATGCAGATGATGGCTTCTGAAAAATGCGGAAAGGAATATGGTAATAGCCAGCCCTACACAGCCCCTTGAGAAGGATTGTCCCTGTGAGTTTGTCCTGAACCCAAAAACATAGATCATCACATATAAATCTGCATCTGTTATCCTTACATAGTTGATAAACTGATAATAGATGCTGAGATATTTTTGGAACATATAACACATTCTTCAATGCAAGATTATGAGTAGGAGTGTGTAGGTTTGAAGTTCCAACGTGAGAAATTTGCAAACCTGCACCACTTGCTGTGGTTATTGTGTCATTGCCGTGATATGGAGTGGACAGATCCAAGTTGGATGGTTCAGAGGTCATATGGGAGGTTGCACCAGTATCGGCAACCCAAAACTGATCCATAGGTGCAGATGGTTGATGATGAACATGCATTGCTGCTAGAGGTGAGGATGGTGACTTGCCTTGATAGGCAAAATTGCCTCTGTGATAGCACTGAACTGCAGAATGACCAAATTTCCAGCAAATTTGGCATTGAATCGGAGATGGAGAACTTGTGACCTGTGAACCATGTCTCTGAAAGCAATCTGCTGCAACATGGCCTTTTTTGTTACAAATTTGGCAAGTTGGAATCTCAGAAGGATGATCAGGACAATGTGATTGAAATGGTCTCGGAGCACCAAGAATGCCTGGACTTGTGTTGGATGGAGGCTGATAAAATCGAGGACCAGAATAGTATGATCTACCGCGGCCTTTGCCTCTGAAGTTATTGCCTTTGTACCCTCCTTGATACTGACCACCATTGTTAAACATTTGACTGCCATTATTGTTGTAAGAACCTCCAAAACTATGACCAGAAGACGATAATCCACTACCATTACTCGTGTAGTGTTGGTCATTGGTCCTAGAGCTTGAACCAAATTCAATAGACTGAGATGAATCTTGATCAAGAACTAAAGCTTTCCCTTTGTTAACCGCAGTACCGGCAACCATGGCAGAGCCACAATATGGTGATGATTCAAAAGCCTGACCAATAGTAGTCTCTTCTGCCAACAATTGAGACCTGAAATCCTTTAATGAAATAGTGTTCTCTCTGCCCCGTATGACACAGCGAAAAGTATTAAATTCTGCAGGAAGACCTTTCAGAGCAAGGATGATTATATCATCATCATCAAAATGAACACCAGCAGCTGCAAGATGGTCTCTGGCATCCTTGATCTTTTGCAGATATAGAGAGACAGACTCAGAACCATTCTTGATGTTTTGGAGTTCAGTTTTCATTTGAAAAATCGTAGCTTTGGTAACTGTGGAAAATCTTTCAGCAAGATGAACCCACATTTCATGAGAACTTCGACTTCCAATGATGCAGGACATCGCCATTGGAGACAAGGTGACAATGATCAACTGCATAAGGGCACGGTCATGCATCTTCCAGACAAGATAACCATCGGTTTCAATCCCTTCACTTGTAGAATCATCATCAAACCGCAGAGGACATTTCCTTGAGCCGTCCACAAAGCCCATAATGCCATGACTCTCGAAGAGAAGAGTTATCTGAAAACACCATGTGAGGTAGTTCGAATCATCAAGCTTGACTGTAACGGATGTCGAAATGGTAGAAATAAGACCAGTGATCGGAGATTGAACAATCTTTAACTGATCAGCAGTCACCATTATTGATATTGTATAGAATTCTTTCACTGAGACAATTGATCAAACAGTTGGTATGCAGAAACAAAGAGCAATATCTTGAAGTTGTATGGAGATCAGACGAAGCCAATTATTGCATTTATCACACAACAGATTGCAAACTAGAGGGTAAAGAAGAGAAAGAAATTCGTTGATTGAGGTGCGGAAGCGCCAAGTCGATGCAAGGCGATGATACCATGTGAAGATAGCAGCAGCAATTGTAATGAAGAAGATTAAGAAGACTTTAGAATTGTAAAGAGAGAAGAAGAAAGACTTTCTGATATATTTTTCACTTTCATTGAATGAATTACATCTCTTACATCTCAATTATATATCTATGACTTACTCCACAAGTTAGTATCTCAACAAACTAACTACACATTCTAACCTCCAACAGATCCTAACATCCTTATAACTGCCCTTGGATCTTGTGACACTTGTCATCATCTAGACCCTTGAATCTCTTCACTTGAATTCTCATCTTTGAGATCTTTGGGTTTGTTTACACTCTTACAAATTCCCATTTTGGTACGGTAATTAACGAGGTACGTCATTATCTATGATCACTCGCAATTTTGAAGATTTTACATACACGGAGAGGGACAAATAGGGTGGCTCATCGATTAGCACGGTTCAGATTGCTTTTGGAGGCGAAACGAACACGGTTTGAAGAACCACCCAGTATAATTTGTGACGTTCTTTTTTAGGATAGAATTCATATTTAATTTTGGTGCGGGACGCTCTTTTTCCCTTCGTCCAGGTTGAAATCCCTGACAAGGTTTTTATCAAGGCCCATGTAATTGCACCTGATCCTCATGTTTATGTATGTATTCCTATTATCTATGAATAAATATGGTACTTTACCTCAACAAAAAGTCAATGAAATAGAGATCAATGAGAATTTGCAGACGCTTGTCTATGATTGATCAATTGCCTAGCTATATAGGAAAACACAAATAATTCAACAAAAAAATATCATCTGGTAGGCTTTGATATGTGAGTTGTTGATTGGGAATAATATTGTTGAATGTGAGTTGTTCATAAAAAAAAAAAAAAAAAAAAAAAAAAATCATCTAGTCGCATTATATTATCAAATAGGCAATTTTTCCCTTCTGAATGTAATTTTCTGTTTATATGGATGGATGACCATGGATATGAGATCTATTCAAGTGTTTTAGCTTTTTTGTGTAAATGGGTTTTGGATTTTGAGAGTATTTAAGTATATTCATGTGAGTTTTATACTATATTTGATTTTTTTTTTTTATAAAAAGTGATATTTATGAAATTGAGTATTAAATTTTGGCTATTAATGATAAATGATAGAGAAAAAAAGGAAAGAAATGCATTTGCTTGGATCGAACTCTTGACTAGGAGATAAAAGAATTTTCGGGGCCCCTCCTGCTTGGGGCCCTAGGTAGTTGCTTTTCTTGGCTATTCTCAAGACCGGCCCTAATTGTTTCTTTTCTTATTGATATTTTTACTAATTTCATGGTCGTTATTATTATTTTTTCATACTAGAGAATTTTAATTGATACGAAAGCTTATAATCATTCTTTTATTTTGTTTGAGAAATATAAACTTCAATGAACAGGGGCAATATACAAGACTTAGTAGCAGAGGGGAGTTTGTACAAGTAGATGACCAAGAAGCCTGCACAAAGTAATCCGATAACTGCTCGACATCCCCGACGACGAAAAGGCCAGAACTCCTCTAAAGCATCAAAAAGTTCAAAGACACCAAATAGACATAGATCCACAGTCCGTCAGCCTCACCTCCTCGTCATCAAGATCCAACGATATATCAACCTTTCCTAATCCCTTAGCAACACTAACACCAACAAATTGACGTAGGTCCACACACCAACATGCTCCACCGGTTGCAACGATGAATCTCTTAATCATTTAGGTCACTTATGATGACTACGATTGAATTTTATTCGAGTAACTTAGTAATAACTTACTAATTTTGTCTCACACAGTTGTACATTCTTCTCAAAAAATAGTGGGTTTCTTACCAAGATAGTCGAGATCATGATCACGCAATGTAAAGTTGAACCGAGAAGCAATGAGATTGAGTAAGGTTTTGGGGCTAAACATGTTCATATATATGACAAATCCATTACAAGATAAACATATCCAAAGTCTAATTAGTCCAGCTAAATGATTTTACCCTACTCATTAATCGATGGGTCTTTCTTGGACCCGAGTCAAAGGTTTGTACTTGAGTTGGTTAAATACGTTCACATCTCCAGCTCCTCAATATCGTTTGTAAACATTGATTTCCGGTACTATGTATATCATATACATAGGTTTCAGGCACATATAATAATTAACCATCTGCAAACTGCTACACCATTTAGAGACAAGAAATCCTCATTACTTGGGTGGACACCTGCTAACAAAACATGGGGGTCGAGCATGTCCTTGGCCAAATTAGTTTTTGTGGTTTACAACGTTTGTCATGCACGGTGTGTAAAAGGGAGCAAATGAAACATCATGTGACAGTGAATACATTTCATATTAGTCCATATTCATTATTTAGTGGCATTTCATAATCATCAAAATCCAATCATTAAAAAAACAAAGAAAAAAATAGTTCAAATAAAAAGAGCTGTTATTAACATTTCAAAAAAGATATTCTACATAAAATAATGCAAGAAAACATTTTCCAAGTGCACCTAAGAGTAACGGTTTAGCATATGCGAAGGGCCCTGTGGATAACGGGCTTCTTCGACCAACTGTTGTGACTGGATCATGGGTCACAAAAATGTTTGAAAAGCCCAACAGAATAACCCAACAAAACCCAAGGACAATTACGTCATTTCCGTGTGCTCCACACAAAACCCTAGCTTCAGATGAACCTCTCTACAAAAACCACGCATTTCACTCACTCAGCCTCCTCCTCCTCCCTCCAAAACCCATACGCCCCCAAACCCAGAGCGCCGCCGAAGAATCCATGCCTCCCAAATTCGACCCCTCTCAGGTCGTCGATGTCTACGTCCGAGTCACCGGAGGCGAGGTCGGCGCCGCCAGTTCGCTCGCTCCCAAGATTGGTCCTCTGGGTCTCTCCCCCAAAAAGATCGGAGAAGACATCGCTAAAGAGACCGCCAAGGACTGGAAGGGCCTGAGAGTCACCGTCAAGCTCACCGTGCAGAATCGTCAGGCCAAGGTCTCCGTCGTCCCCTCCGCCGCTGCTCTCGTCATCAAGGCGTTGAAGGAGCCGGAGCGCGACAGGAAGAAGACTAAGAACATCAAGCACAGCGGGAACATTTCGTTGGACGATGTGATTGAGATTGCTAAGGTGATGAGGAACAGGTCCATGGCGAAGGAGTTGGCCGGGACCGTGAAGGAGATTCTGGGCACCTGCGTTTCGGTCGGGTGCACCGTCGACGGCAAGGACCCGAAGGATCTGCAGCAGGAGATTGCCGACGGTGATGTTGAAATTCCCTTGGACTGATAAGCTATGTTTTGGGTTTTATAAAATGTTAGTGAGTTTTGGGTTCTATAAACATTTCATATTTTTGGGTTTTAATTTTATAATTACTATCGGTTTCCCAGTTATGAATTTCTATAGGGCATTGAAATGGTTGATCGAATTCGGCGCTGTAATGCTTTAGCGTTAATGTTTTTTTTTTTTTTTTTGTCTTTCTCTTTTTGCTTATAATGTCTGGACCTGAGTTTTTTATGCTTAATGTTGAAATGTATTTTCTATACGCTCATGAATGATTGTGTGTGGTGATCCATTTTTGTTTGATATGGAGTTCATATGTTTTTTTAGTGAAAAATGGATAAACCAGTGTGAGTCTTGAAACATGCTCGACGGGGTTTCTGAATTATAGTGCCATCTCTTGGTTTATGTCAAATTTGATGGTTTCGGTGTAAACCATTGTGAGTGTTGAAACAATTGACTGGAGAGGGTTTCTGAATTATAGTGAAAGCTCTTGGTTTTGAAGGATGCTTTCTGCAATATCTCTGTGTGCGAAACAATTGTTTTAATGTTAGTTTTATTTGATTCCATGAATCATTTACATGTTGGTGTTGTTTGATTCCATAGATTCTGTAAAATGTAGGCAATACTACTCGTTGCTGAATTTATAGAATACAGCTTGTGTTGTTTATAATGTTGATATACAATGAAGTTTGGGTGAACAGATTGTGTACTTGGAAGTTGGGGGAAAATGATGGGATGTTTTCCTGCAAGGTCCGAAGTACATAGGTTTTATTTTCTAAATGGCATATCTGAAACGGGGCATTACACTGAGAACCTTTGTGTAATTGGTGATCGTGTTGGTGACCTTTTGAGTTTTCATAACACTGCTCACTAGTCTATGGTTTGCGGTTTGTGTGGTTGTTTCAAACTAAGTAATGGTTTGTTACTGGTCGAAAAGGTTGGGGTGAACCATCCAACAAAGATTGGTATAAACGTCACCGGACTGTTTGTGCAAACCGCAGTTTGGGAGAACTTATGCTATGTAGTATCACTTACAGGTCAAGTTGAATTCTGCCTTTTCACTAGAGTTGGTTAAGGTTTTGCTGTTGAATTCTATGGTTTTGTTTAAACCTTTTTGGCTTGTTGCGATTTGTGAATTATAGTGAAATGTTCTTGGTTTTGAAGGACGCTTTATGCAGTTGTGGTGGGTTTATGAAACAATTGTTTAAATGGTATTGGTATTTGATTCTAAGAATTATTGTCATGTTTTGCTTTACAAGTGAGTTGGGGCAATTGTGTTTGTTTCCACTTATGCAAATCATGAATTTGCAGAATTTCGAATGTATTTGTTTCGGTAATTTGATTCGTGCTTATGGATTGTGTATTTGGAAGTTTGGGGGAAAATACGAAGAGATTATAAGTGAACCTGCTACCTTAGTAGTCGTAATTTTTGTTTCTAAATCACTTTTCGTAACAGTGCTCACTAGTCTATCTTGCTGCTGAGTTTTTTAGTTTTCGTAACAGTGCTCACTAGTCTATCTTGCTGTTTGAGTGCTCGTCAACCTTTGCGATGGTTTGCAATTGATGCATTTGTTATTTGAGCAACCCCAGTTGGGGAGAGAACTTCTCTCAGAGAAGCACCCACATTTTGACGTAGCACTACTAAACATTTTGGCGTGTCAAAGTTTTCATCCTTTTACTCTGACATAGTAGTTGAACATAAATATCGTCCATGAGAACGATACACTTGGATCCTTAGGAGTTTTGTGGTCATGAATTAGCTCTCGTAAATTGCAGAAATTGTTTTTGATTCAGCCCGTTTCGGATGAGCCATGGACTTCCTAGCTTCGCTCAACTAGCTGATTAGGCTTCCCCGCTGTATGACTACCAAGAATCCTCTCATTCTTTTTACTTTTTCTGTATGAAAAGAGTCTTATTCAAAACCCAAGCTCTTTATTACATTGTTGAGGTATATGACTGCTGCATAATTAGGGAGTTTAAACGAAAATTTCGCGTACTGTTTACTTTAACGAAAAATCATATTTTTTACACTAAAAAGTCGAACATAGTACTATTCATTTTATCCTTTATTTTGTCCTTATCGTTAAAAAGTTTTCAAAATCTTTTCATTAGTTTTTCTTAATTAATAATCTGCTAGATAATTAATGTGGCACCTAATTTGAACTTCTTTCTTAGCAAGTAAACTTGTCAACTAAGATCCAAAGTTTTGATACCAAAGCCAAGTCGAGCATTCTCAACAATTTAAAACGTATGCTAATGTGTTGTAATGCTAGTCTATGTATGAAAATTAAAACACGGGAAGACATGATTGGCTTGTGATACCTATTGAGAAATGCTTTCATTTCATTGGATAATGATAAGTTACAACTAGTATTTATATTTACAATTCAAAGAAGCCAAAATACAACTAAGGAAAGGTAAAACAAAATGTAGTGGTAATCGATTTCCACATGCTTAGTGCTAGCATGAAAAATTGGATTAGATGCCAAAGCAATTGCTGAGATGTTATCACACCAAATATGAGGTAAAGTGGGCAGTTTGAAACCAATATCAGAAAAAAGTTTACAAAGCTAGGTGATTTATGATGTTGTATGTGCCAAAGACTTGTATTTTGCTTATGTTGAAGATCGAGCAACAGTGTGTTGTTTCTTTGCACTCTAACTAATGAGAGAAGGACCAAGAAATATGCAAAACCTTCCAGTAGATCTCCTATCCCAAGAACAGCTAGCCCAATCGGCATCAGAATAGGCCTTCAGAGTGAGGGATGAAGAGCTCTTAGGAAACCATAAGCCATGATTAAGAGTGCCTTTCAAATATCGAAGAATTTTCTTCACTACCTGGAAGTGTAGTTCTTTGGGATTGTGCATAAATTGATAGGCCAAGTTAACTGCAAAGGATAGATATGGTCGTGTCCAAGTGAGATATTGAATGGCTTCTATAATACACCTATATTCAGCTGCATTTTAAAGCAAAGGACCTGTGAGATCAAGTTTAGCAAACCTAAGAGGTATGATGCAAGGTTTAGCCCCATCCATTTTAGTTCTCTTAAGAAGATCCAAGATGTACTTGGACTGATGAATGAAAATACCAGATGAAGATCTAGTGACTTCCAGTCCAAGAAAATAATGTAAATCTCCCAAGTCTTTAACTGGAAACTGGGCACTAAGTTGAGAAATCACAGAAGTGCAAGTTATGGGTAGATTGGCCAGTACCTATGACATCATCTACATATACCAAAATCAATACCAATGTAGGTTGATGAAACATGAATAAACTTGGATCAAATTGAGAAGCCTGAAATCCCATAGTAAACAATGCAGATTGCAATTTCTCAAACCAAGCTCATGGAGCATGTTTTAATCCATATAAGGTTTTTTGTAAGTGACAAACAGATGTAGGATGCTCTGGATCAATGAAGCCTGAAGGTTGAGTCGTATAAACATTTTCTTTGAGAAACCCATGTAAGAAGGCATTACTTACATCCAGTTGATGTAAGAACCAATTGGATTGAACTGCAAGAGTGAGCAAGATTCTGATTGTCACTAGTTTTTCCACTGGGCTGAATGTATCACTAAAATCAATACCCTCATGCTGATTGTAACCCTTGGCAACAAGTCTACCTTATATCAATCTATAGAGCTATCTGATTTCCTTTTAACTCTGAAAACCCATTTACAACCAACTAAATTCTATGTAGGAGATGAAGGAATAAGTTTCCAAGTGCCTATATTTTGCAGGGCATTGAACTCTTTTGCATGGCAGCTCTCCAATAAGGATACTTAGATGCCTGAAGATATGTTAAGGGAACAAATTCAATGGCCATGTGAGATGGCAGTGGATGCTTTGTTTTTGTAAATGCATTGTATTTGAAGATACCAGATTTGGATCTGGTTTGCATAGGGTGAATTGAAGTAGGTTAAGAAACCAAAGGTGCAGGAATGATGGCAAGTGATGGTGAAGTAACAGGGATAGGTGCAAGTGATGGGGAAGTAACAGGAGATGGTGAGGATGCAATTGATGGAGAAAAGTTGAGGTGTGTAGTAGTAAGGACATGTATAGAGGGACCAAGAGGTGGGATGGCATGATATAAGTTGGGAAAAGTAAGGTTGAAATGATTGGAAGTAGTATGACATGGTGGCTAAGATGATTAAAGGGAAAAAGTGTTTACTTGGTGAAAAGGAAAAGTGTCTTCATCAAAGTATACATGCCTGGAGATGTAAACTTTGTTTGTAGAAGGATCTAGACACCTATAGTCTTTGTGATTCTGACTATAACCAATAATAACATAGGGTTTACTTTTGGGTTCCAATTTGGAGTAAGTGTAAGGTTTCAACCAGGGATAACATTTGCAGCCAAAGGTTCTGAGTAAAGTATAATTGAGGGTTTTTTTTTGAAAAATTGCTCCCATGGTGATGGTTTAGATGTTGGAGGCAATCTATTGATCAAATAGACATCAGTGAGAAAAGTCTCTGCCCAAAATTGATGAGATACATAAGAAGCAATGAGTAGAGTTCTTGCTGTCTTAACCACATGCATGTGCTTCTTCTTAGCTCAGCTATTTTGTTGGGGAGTGTGAGGGCAACTCAGAACATGTTGAATGCCATGAGTGGATATATGTTGTTTGAAAACATTGCTGAGAAATTCACCCCCTGAATTTGATATGAAGGTACCAATTCGAAATCTAGAGACATTGTTAACCAAAGCTTGAAACTTGACAAAAGTTTGAAATACATCCGATTTGTATTTGAGAGGATACAACCATGTGTACTTAGTGAAATCATAAAAAAAATCACATAGAATTTGTAACCACTCACAGAAGCTAATGGAGTTTGTTTGTACCAGACTTAGGGCCGCCGTATTTAGATCTCGTATAAATACTCGAGGGACTCAAATGTAATTATGTAATTAATGAAGGGGCAAATATGTAAAAAGGGGTGGAGCCCTTAGTCTATAAAAGGGCCTCCTCACCCTCACAATCCTTAAGCTCTCATCCTCACATATAGAGGCCATAAAGCTCACAAACAGAGAGCTCTCTCAAACTCTTTCTTTCTTTGGGGGACTCCCCCTCACACTTGTAATCCGTACATTCATACAGAGAAGAGAAATACATCAGTGTGGATGTAGCCTAAACATTGGGGTGAACCATGACATATATTGTGTTCTTTACTTTCTTGCAGATTCACGGTCGGATTTAAGTTGTTCCAAGACCCCTCAGATTTTGTGCATCAACATTTGGCGCCGTCTGTGGGAAACGACATGAAAAGCTATGTCG